ACCCTCAGTTGCATGGCCAGTCTTGAGCACCAGGACTTGTATTAGATTGGTTTCATAATGGGAGATGGGATCCCACCCTTCAAGAATGTGAAGGGCATTGGAGAAGAGGAGGAAACAAGTAGGGCAAGACAGGTTAAAAGCTAAAGGCAGAACTGCAGCTCAAGCTTGCATGCAGGCAGTGATACTTGCTTGGAGGAAGCAGGAGAGTTTGGGACTTGGAGAAAAGTTTTGAGAGGTGTTGCGACTTAGGCTAGTTCCACAATCAGAAACTACAGTGTCCCAGTCAGTCTGTTGGGTGACATCCCTGCTGTAGAATATGATCCCCTCTCATGTAATGATAGCAGATAACTGCTTGAGAAGCAAAAGAGTGTGTACTCTCGGACTATCCATAGCTAAGAACACGCTTGCTGTCCCCTGATCTAACTTTGAAGTTATCCTGGCATTGAAAAGGGCTGGGATGGGTGACCTCCAGAGGTACCTCCCAACCCAAGTTCTCTGTGGTGGAGAAGGACGTGCTTAGCAATGATCAGTGACACAGGCAGAGTTGGTTTCGGAAACACATCTCTTAACTCCTTCTTTTCTTGCTACTCACTTGCAGCTGTTGTCCCAGATGTCCCAGTCAGCATGGTGACCACCAAGTGAAGAACATGCTGTTTTCAACCCAGAGGCTCTCCTGTGGTCAGTGCCATGGTCTGACTGAAGGGCTTGCCTGATGCAAGTCCAGGACAGAGCTGGTGCTGTGGCCTGAGGTGGTAAAGGTCTGCTGCTTGATTTTGGCTTAACACTCTAGCTCATCAGTGTTTTTAATATTTCCAGATAGAAGAAACTCCTCTTAAATGGAGCTATTTTTGTTTGGGATAAATCAAAAGATGATTTATGAAGAGTGGACATGTAAAGAGCTCAAAAAAGATAGTGCTGTGCTTCCTGAGCAGAGGGAGAGATGGGGGGCAGTAAGTATTCTTGCGCTTTGGGTTCGTGACTTAGGCCATATAAATGTGCTGCTCGTGATCAGGGCTGCTGGGGTATATTTACTCAAGAGGAAAGAACTATTGCTTGTCCAGGGCTGCTGGCACAATCAGGAGAGAGAAACAGTTATGGTGACTATTTCTTTGTATTCACAAGGGGAAAACAGATGATTTGGATAGTTCATCACTGTCTGGTACATGGTAATTCCATTCAAGTTGTAGATGGTCTGAATATAACATAATATAGCAGTAGGGTAATATAAAAATAACAGATACATGATTTCTTCTTCTTCATTTCCAAAGAGGAGCTATTATATTTATAATTACATAGAGCAATAGTACTTCTCTGGTTTCTTCAAGATCCATTACGCAAATTTCCTGCTCTGTTCTCATCCTCTTCCTCTGAGTGGCTATATTTTGCAGCTGAGCATTTAGAACTGCTTCTGCTTAGCGGACGCTCCAGGGTGGGATTTGTCCTATGACAGGAGGGATGAGCTGCCTTCCCCAGGAGCCCAGGGTTTGTGTCTTGAGTCACCTTCCGATGCAGGCTGTGACGTGCCACAGGCCTGCCACCACCAGTTACCCACAACAGGAACTATTTGCATCTTTCTGTCATTCCTGTCCCACATCCTGGTGGTGGGCGCTTAAGTTTTGCTGTCAGACAGAGTTGGTATGTGGCTAAGTTACATACCTGAACTCAGGAATCTTTTGGCATCCCAAGCCCAGTAATATATGCATCGCCTACGTGAAGGTATTTTACAGTTACACAGCATTAATCCTATCCCAAGGGTGCTGTAGGAATCTTATAGGGATCTTAATCAAGATCATGATACCTGTGGCATTAAAACACTGGAGAGTGACTGCATCTTCAGTTTTCAAAAAAAGAGAATTACAAATTCCCATTTTCAGTGCATGCTCTGGTGCCTGGCCAATTTGCCCTTAGGGCTGTAAAATAGGATTTTCAGGTTTCTGGAAGGAGAAGCAAGCTCAGAATTATATTTAAATCAGAGTAAACAGGAATGATGAGAATTTGATCCTGTTAGTTCTGAAACCTTTATCCATCATATATTCCATCTGGGTTTGGTAGAAACTAGTGCTTTTCAGTGCATTCATATTTTACATCACTGTCAGAAACCCTGGTTTTAATCTAAGAAGAGTGTGTCTTACAAAATAACCTTACCTGTGACACTTTCGCTAGAGACGTTTTTATACATTTCCCTGAAGTGCTGGCATGGACCGTCCTCCTAATCGTTCATACAAGCAGGATCTGGTGGATATTCTCACTGGGAAGGATTTATTTGAATAGAGTAGGTAAAAAATGGAAAGACAAAAAGAAAGCTCTGGAAATGTTAAGAAGATTGCCATGTTAGGTAAACTGCACATTGTTTTATGTGCCGTGGTAGGACATTATAAAATGATACAATAGAAGTACGAAAGATGTTCAAGGGATTTTTCCACTTAAACAATCTGTCTCGGTGAAGGAAGTTAACTGATCTTCAAAGCTGCATTTGCTATTCCTAAAACATGTTGCAGTTTCTTCCTCTTGGTGATGAGCCGTGCACGGTGTCTAAGTTGTCAATGTCATCAGCAAGTCTCAACTAACTGCAATCGCCATTCAGCGTTTTAGAGCAAAGAGGGAAAAACATCACTCTCAAATAAATCTTTCAAGACCATACATCGCAGCCAAGAGCCAGAGTTGCTCAACAGAAATGATGCCACAAGAAGAGAAAAATGGACCACTTCCATATGGGTCCAAAAGCGCCTGAGCTGCTTCGCTATCTCTGAAATGATAGGAAGGATATGGGGACTCATTGCAAATGCATTGAGAGTATCTGCATAATGAAGAAGATGCACAAAGGCATTAAGCAAGCAATTTTGGATTGAAGCCATTGAATTGTATTTTGAAATGGAAACGCAAAATGGTGTTACTCTGTTGCGATAACCTACAGTGTGCCAAACGTGCCAGTATGTAGCATAAGTTTGCTTTATCGAGGATGGACCCGGTTTCATTTAAAGCAGATTTAAATCTGGGGGGAAGCGGGTCTTTTCTCCCTCTTCCTCTACCTCTTCTATTACCAAACAATCAGTCTTTCACTTTGATTAAATTATTCCCTCCATGATAACATCTTATCTGTAGAATTTTATTCTCTTTGCCAGTTTTGGATCAGCATGGATAGTTCAAAGTAAAAAAATATGCAGGATAATTAATTTATTAACTAACTCATTCTCTAATTAATTCAGGATTTCTCAGCTTTTGAATCACTAAAACAATAGAAAAAAAGAAGATAAATGCTTTCTTATTAAATTGGTTAAAAGACTTTTCATATGTAAAATAAAAACGCTTTTATGTTAGCAGGTCTGTTATCTTGTCAATGAATGAAGGATTTACACATCTAATATTCCTTTCTGCTCATGAAAGAATAGATCATATGAAAAATGTAATTTGGAATGAATAATAATTTATCAGTTCAATGTAGTCTTGAGCTCAGCTTCCTAGGAAATAAGGCTTATACCACCATGATGTCTGTATGTGTCTTCATTCCTTCAGCCCACTATGGACATTTTCAATGTGATAGTCACAACTCCAATCAAATCTGGTGGAACTATTGACCTCTATTTTCCTCAAGTTTCAGGAAAAGAGTACCTCTTGTAACAAGAAGGCTGAAACTACTGCTCTCTATTGGAGAGAAGGCCACAGGATATGGCTGCAAAAAACTAAAATAGGGTAGAGCCTAAAGAATCCAAATTCCTATATTTGCTCACCAAATAATTTGTCTGCTTGAAGCTATCCATATTTTCTCTTCGGACCCCAGACTTCCCCATACTTATATGTACAACAGAAACATATACAGAGCCTTTGCCGTCTGGCTTGAAGCTATGGAGTTTATAATGATGTCTGGTGCTTGGGGGATTCCAGGTGGGTGGCAGCCAGGGGATCTGGTAATTTTTCATGCTGTAAGAGCTAACTGAAGGGGGGAAGATAATGGTCTTCTGTAGAGAGATGGATATGGGCTGGTTTTTCACCATCTCTCCCAGTACAAGAAGGAGGAGGCATTATGGGGCAGCCAGCAGGAGAAAGGTTCACAAGGAGGTAGATAGCACAGAGTCAAGTTGTGGAGATCCTTTCCTGGGATGCTGTGGATGCTAAAAACATTTCTTGGGTTTATTAACAACCAGCCATGTTCCACACTCAAAGGGGAGGAAAAAAAAAACCAACACTGAGAGATTCCTGGCTCAGGAAGTCTTTGAGATTTAAGTTTAGAGGGAGAGGAATTGTTCAGTACTGTTACTACCAGTTGTTTTCATTTGTGTGCTCTTGGCTATCTGCTTCTATGTTTTGGGGACTGGGTTTTATTTTCCGCATAAATGCCTTCCATTTATGTTATTTAGATTTGTTCTATGTTAGTTACAGTAGCATATTTTTATTGATAATTTTACTGCTTTCAAAAGACAAACCTCTTTAGGCTAATTTATTAATACTCAAAATAATGATTTTGCATAAGACATGTGAGGGGTCTAGGTGTCACCCCAGAGACAGCAGCTGCCCTTCCTTACAAGCTGGAGGCAGGACATCCATTTCTGCACCACCAGCTTCTTCTAACTGCTCAAACTCTTTTCCTGCCTTTCTAAGCAACACGTTGTCCACTGCACTCTTTTAGGAGAGGTGATCAGGGTATGCTGCCTTCTCAGAAGGATGCCTGTGGTCCAAGCACCATCCAGGGAGCCTATAGCACTTGTACCTCTTGTAAGGCATGCCACCAGGAGAAAAGGGGATGATGGAAGGCTGAAAATATGGATTAACTCTTCCTCAGCTAATTTGAGCAGTTGTGGGGATTTCACCATGCATTGCTCATTCCTGTGTTCCTCAGACTGGTCCCAGATGCAGACAGGGAACTGATGTGTGACTTGGAGGATACACTAGGAGCTGAGGTGCCACAGTGACTTCCTATGGAGCTTCAGCATCTTCTGCTGGTGGGTAGGTACTGGCCTGCCTTTTTTTTTTTACCCTTCAATTATTTTTAGTATTAGTCTTTTACGGGAAGAGAGTGAACATGGCCCAGTTAACCACAAATGGTGCAGCTGAATTTCCTGCTTTTGGAAAAATTAAAAATCAGCACTCTAGGAATGCAGGAGATGAGCCTCACCCTAGGAAAACCACCTCCTTGATGAGGCTGTCGTCTTTCCATGCTAGGTAAGTATCAATACTTAGAAAGAATATTGGAATGGATGTATCTTTGGTCTAACACAGTGTGGGTGCTCTTTAGATTTTGTGTTCAGATTTTGTGGTCTGGACATGAGAGTACTAATTGTGGGACTCACCCCCATTTCTGCATTTGGGTGGCAGCTTCAGGTTATATAAGAGATTTGGGGGCTTTTTTGGTAAATTATCACAGCATTTACAGCCCAGTTGCAACTGGGAATGCAACTGTTCTCTCTGCATCAAGATACCAAACCACCAGAAGGAAACAATGCAGTTTTCATTGGTGTTCTTTAAAATAAAATGTCATAGTATATCTGAAAGCTTGAACGTGATCATTTAAGCAATCACTGAATGCCACACTATGAGGTATATTAGGTGCATATGAAGTAGCTGTTCTGACAGTTAGAAAAGAGTAAATAGAAAAATATTCTGTACTTATGGAAGCAGTCTCTGGCAATGATTATTATTGCTTGAATAGTGCATACAAGAGCTGTTGGAAACACTAGACTGAACAGTAGATTACTTTTCATTTGACTACATTTATGCCTCTTCACTTCCGTGGCTGCAAGTAGGCTTTTGATCCCAGGGAGTCATTGGGGATGAGTCTTCTGCATCTAGCCTGCAAGATTTGCACTTCTAAGCATATATACGTAAGCACTTGCATACTTACAAGTCTGGAAGTCTTATACTTCCATAAGAATAAAAATACTAATCATTTACCATTCATATTCTCCATCCTGAAAAGTTTCAGTCATTCAGATAAAATGATGAGAACATTCCCTAGGTCAGGCTTTATCCTAATTAAATTAGCCTACTTACATTAGCAGCAAGAAATTCTTAAGCATACTAGCTAAGTGAGTTATTGGGCTAGTCAGGTAAAGAAAAATCTGCTCTTTCATTGACAAATAGACATTAAAAAATACAACCACTTTTGTCCTTTCTTGCTCTCACACAGGAAATTGTGCCTCCACAGAAATGAGCTGTGTGCAAATAATGATCAATGGTCATGATATGTAGAGAGCTGTTAGTCATAATCGTATTAAGCAGTCAAGTAAAGGTTAAATAAAATCTAGAAGCGTTTTCTCAGCTCCCGAAGGTGGAGCTGTAACAAGAATGTTAATATCTGTTGGGCATGGTTTTATCCAGTGCAATGTAACTCTAAATGTATTGAAGGAGAGCTCACTTGGAGAGATTTTTCCCTGAAAGGTCTTGCTGGGCAGTGGGGAGGGGAGCAGGCAGATGTGTCTGCGAGGCTTCACTGTGAGGATGTACTTGTTGGTGTGGAGATGATTACAGATGAGCAAAAGGACGAGAACAAGACTAGTAATATTTGGAGGGGAAAAGCATCGTAAGTTTGAATAGCAACTAAACCTTGATGGAAACGCAAATGGCAGTTACTCGGTGTTTTAGAAAGGATATCCTGTCTAGCAGCATTATGTAAAGATAAACAGCTACAGCTTTTTTCAGTTTAAGGTATTTAAAACTAATCAGGAGATTATATCAAAGATCAATGCCTAGATGGCCAGTTTTTCCCTCTCATGTATCTACACGTAGATACAAACACTCACACACACTCACATGAACAATGGTGATATTGCCTGTCGAATGTAACAAACTAAAATGCATTAATACAAACTGTTACTATGTGACAGACAATTACATCTGCATAAAAAGTATTTTAAACATATCAAGGTCATGCAATTATTTAATCTGTATCCTATATACTGAAATTAAGTCTAGACAAAACTTTTCAGTAATATCTGGGGCAGGCGTGGGGAGCCAGAACACTAATAAACTTTTGGATGTTAATCAGGATACACCCCATGCTTTACTCGAACAGAAACAGAAACTCATTCACAAACCAGTAGGCTTCATCTGGTTTAGAAACCCAGTTTATAAAATATCAGGCAACCTAAGAAACTTTCCTCCTAGGATTAAAAATATTTTTCAGAAAGTGTAGTCTGTCTAAATTGACACTTCTCAAGCAACATCAAGACACTGTTACAGCCTGGTTTCCATACGGTTTTGAAACAAGAGACTCACAATTTCATACTTGTACTTTAAAGACAAACCCTCAAAAACACTCATTTTGTTAACAGGCTCTGGCAAACTGATGAATCTGTTACCACTCCGCCTTGTATCCCTGGAGGAAAGAAGGAAGACTGTCCTGTAAAGACTTTGTCTTGCATTTTTTTAATGCTCCTTTTCTTCTGTTGAAGTGTTATATCATTAGTTCTAAAGTTACAAACACCATTTGTGTTGTCCAAACCCATTTCTTTTTTTAACAGAAACAGTCTGAAAATTGCCATAAAATAAAAAGGGAAGGAAAGGCATGCAAAAGACATTTTCAGTGTAGCTTTGTGATTTTCTGTTGCAGATAATGTAGGTTTTACTGGGACTGAAGTAGATACAAGGTATGCCAAGAAGTCATGGGCAATTATAAGAAAACGTGGTTTCATCTAATATTCATTACTGGAGATCTAGAAATAACTGTGTTGACCTAACTTCGCAAATGAAAGTCTAAAGAGAGAAATGAAATCTCAAAGAACTTATTTCTTATTTCTGACAAAGGTGAGCATTTGCAGCTCCTGTCCTCCTTTTCATGCCCCACAACCCCTTCTCCTCTAACTTGGATCTCTTTCCCAACCTGATTTCTCCTGGAGGACCTTCATTCTTCAATACTTAAAATGCTTAAAAAAAACCCCCAAACCAACAGTAACAAGTCTGAAAGTAAGCATTTTGCTGCCCTCTTCCAGAAATTTTGGAAGACCCCGTGCTTCATCTGGTTGGAGAAACTCAGTGAGAAATGTACAAGCTAAGGTTGGCGGTTGGACTTGACGATCTTGAAGGTCTTTTCCAACCTAAATAATTCCGTGATTCTATTCTGTGATTCTGTTCTATGACACTAAAGGAAATTCAGCTGCATTGAAGTACTAGCCAGCCTTCAGTGATTACTAGCCAGTGATTAACTGCTCACAATAGTAGCCCTTTTCTGAATATTTTTCATATCGCCAGCTTCCCCACCCCCAGTGACCCTGGCATGTTGTTTTTTTTTTTTTTTCTGGAAATCATCACATCTGGGTCCAACAGCACAGCATTGGAAAATGCATAAATACAACAACAGCATACGTCAGCCTGAGGATCCTTCCCTTGCAAATGCTGACACACATTAAATAATCAGCGCGCTCTCTCTCATGGTTAGGTGGATTTCCAGGCTGCACCCTACTCTAGCACTGCCCTTCACACAACCTACAGAGTAAGGGCTCTGCCCCAATTTACACCAGTATTGGTACAGAATTGCCAGGGCAGACCTGACGGAACAGCATCAGGGCTGGTCAGGCACATCTCAGGCTTGAGAGGGAATGAGGGAGAAGAGGATGCTGCCTTTCCTTTGGCATGCAGGGAGGCCCCGTGTCCTCACCTTCCCTGCAGCACTGATAAGAAACAGAAAACCTGAGCTGGGGGCAGACACACCAGAAAACTTTGGGAAATTTTAAAATGTCTGAAAACAAAGTTTTACAATGGGAAGTATCAGCAAAAGTTAAACATAAGCACTGCCATCTGCACCGCTTATAGCATAAAGTACAAGATGTACGTCTGGGGCTGCCAAAGGTTCAGCAGATACATCCTCCTCTAAAAGCCCTGAAATGCAGCACTGATGGTGGGACTGAGACAGCCTTTGGCAGACAGAGCTGTGTTCAAAACTCAGAAATGGAACCACCTTGTGCGTGTTGGATGGACATGTTTGTCAAAATACTGTGTTATTGTAGCAGCAGCGGAGGCTGAGGCTGTTGCTCAAACTCCCATCAAAACACTGAAGGGTGAAATATATATACTTGCTCAGAAAAGAGCACAAGTCACAACCAAATAGACTGACTTTTCCACATTGTCAATATTCGTAGTTCTACACTTAGTAACACCCAAAGCAACCACTCACCATACTTCATTAATATTCATCACAGCAAGACAAGTAACACAACTAGCAACTGGTGCGCATTCCCAATATTCATTAATATTTACAGCTCTATAGGTGATTTAGTTCTCAGTGGTAAACCATGACACTAAGGTTAACTTGCAGTGTGGCCTTCCAGGTTAAGTAGTATCTTAAAATAAAAGCTCGTGTATGAATTAATGTTACTATCTGCAATAACTTCTGTTCTCATAGTATTTAGCTTCATAAATCATCTTGTATTGGATAAAGATTTTTCATTTTCAGCATAAAGACTCTTTGCAAAGTAAAATTGATGCAAAGTTGTGTCATGGCCTGCTATGGTAGCAAGACTTGTGCAGAAATCATCAGCATTTTCATTTTGAATCCAGGCGTACTTAGGAGATGCTATAGACTAGGTTGTGTTGGCATAATAGAGTAATAAATTATTCCAATGGTTAATTAATACTTGATACAAACTTCAGTGACCTACTAGAGGTCATCCCATGTATCTTTATTTAACAGTTCGATATTTAGTCTAAACTAGTTCCCTGAGTCCCTCCGTACTCAGTGGGGGTAACCCAGCACCTCAAGAGGATGTTTCATGCCCTCTACCCAGAAACTGTTTAATTCCTCTGTCAAAAATTAAAGGGTCCACTTCCCAACTGTGTGAGGGAGCTGTAAAAATGACTAGAGGGGAGCTGTGATGCAGATGGGGGGACAGCCATGATTCGTGGGAGGGAAAAGTGGGTTTCCTTAGCTATTATATTTTTGTCTATATGTATTTCTGGTCTCCTAAAAGCGGTTTGCAATTGCCTTACATGCAGACACACGTGGTAATAAGATGTCTTCTTAATTGTTTCAGACTAACAAAGTGAGTAATGGAGCTCTATTTCATGTTCACAGCCTCTACATTGCATCCAAAACTGAGGCCTGGGCTCTTCATTCTGCACACAGGCAGACTTCAGTCATGATCCCCACAATTTCAAATATTTTCAAAATACTTTTCAGACCCTGAAAACCTGTAATTTGGTGTAAAGGATTCCTATTCTCCACCTTTTAATCTTTTGA